TCCTCACCTGCCTGGGGGGACCAAGGCATCTTCCTCTTCCTCGCAGCCTCCTCCTCCATCCGCCCAAGCTTTGGGAAGGACAAATCCTGATGGGGGGGAAAACAAGGGCTGAGCGCGTTGGCTTGGGGGTTCCTCCTGCCCAAGTCCATCTCTAGAACTCACCGGGCATCCTGTGTCCATAAAAACCTCCAAAACACCAAGATTCAGCCCAGAAAAAACAAAACCACTGAGATTCAGGGAAAAAAGCACTAAGAAATAGTGAGATGGACCGCCCCCCAAATTGCAAAAAGTTAAAGTTTAGCCTGAAATACTCCAAAATATGAAGATTCAGCACAAAAAATGGTGTTTAATTGGGAGAATGAGAGGAGTGAGGTCATTTTTTCATGACTTGATTGAGTTGATATATCCTTATCAAAAGCTGTATTACTGTAGTGTCACTTAAAATTCTCCAGGGCTGTTACTTGGGGTTCTCTGGCCCCCTGTCAGCCTGGGGCTGTTTCTCCAAACCACCAAACCACGTGTGCCAAACGCCCTGGTTGGTCAGTGCCGGCTGGGGGAGCGGGCACTTGGTGAGGGGATGAGAAAACTGCACCAGGGCTGGGCTGAAAGAGGCTTCAGCACCATTTCTGATGGCCCAGGGGCAGCATCTGGCTTCTCCCAAACAGAGAGAGGGCACTTGTTCCTCTGCAGGGAGTCAAGGGCAGCAGGGTGACTCCTGCTGCATGGATGGAGTGGTAGAGGATCCCTTGGGTCCCCAGGATGGATCAGCACTCAGGGATACAAACTGCCCTGGGGCTCAGGATGCAGCTGCCAACACAGATTTCCCTGCAAAGTCTGCAGTGAGTCAAGCTCTGGAGAGCAGGTGTGCAGGGACCTAAGGGGATTATGGACAGGGGCCCAGCAGAGACAGACAGGGCCTGCAGGGGAAGGCACAGGGACAACCTGGCCCCCCACACTGCCACCGCTGTCTCTGCTCCTCCTTGCAGGCTCCGTGGCCAGGCACAGTTTGTGTTCCTGGGTGCCCACCATCTCAGCACTTGGAGACGCTCAAATCAGCGCCCGCAGCTCTGCAGCAAAGCCCCAGCTCACCTGGCACACAGGGGATGGACACAGCACCTTCTCAGGGATGGGCACCTTCGCCTCTTCCCCACCACGGGGCTCTCCTTCCTCAGCAGCACCTCTGCCTTGCACTTATTCTCAGCCTCACCTCAGGGACAGCTCTGGGCTCACCTCCGCGCCACTTCTCAGCCTCACCTCAGGGCCTGGGCTCAAGGACAGGAACCTGCAGGGAGGGGACATCAGGTGCAAGCTGAGGGCTGCCTGCTTGCACTGCCCTCTGGGCTTCTTTCTCCTTCTACAACCAGCCCAGAACTCAGCCTGCTTTTCTAACACCACACATTTACAGACTAACCTTGGAGATAGATATGGACAGACATCTCTATCACCCTGGGGATAGAGCCTCAAGCATGTGCTGCCATAGGAATGGCAATCACAGAATCACAGAATCAGCCACGTTGGAAAAGACCTCTGAGATCATCAAGTCCAACCCTGGATCCAACCCCGCCGTGCTTCCCAGACCATGGCACTGAGGCCACATCCACTCTCACCTTCAACACCTCCAGGGACGCTGACTCCACCCCCTCCCTGCCCAGCCCATTCCAAGGCCTGATTACTCTCTCTGGAAAAAATTGCTTCCTAATATCCAACCTAAACCTCCCCTGGCACAGCTCCAGACCCAGCCCTCTTGTCCTACTGCTGCTTCCTGGCACAACAGCCCCACCCCCACCTGGCTCCAACCTCCTGGCAGGGACTTGCAGACAGTCAGGAGGTCTCCCCTGAGCCTCCTCTTCTCCAGCCTCAACACCCCCAGCTCCCTCAGCCTCTCCTCACACCACTTGTGCTCCACTCCCTTCCCCAGCCTCGCTGCTCTTCTCTGCACCTGCTCCAGCCCCTCCAGGGCCTTCCTCAACTCAGGGGCCCAGAGCTGGACACAGCACTCCAGGGGTGGCCTCACCAGCGCTCACTCCAGCCCAACAATCACTTCCCTGCTCCTGCTGACACACTCTTCCTCACACAGGACACCATCCATTGGCCCTCTTGGCCACCTGGCCACACTCTGCCTCCTCTTCAGCTTCCTGTCCATCCCCACTCCCAGCTCCCTTTCTGCCTGCCTGCTCTCCAGACACTCTGGCCCCAGCCCGGGGGGCTGACGGGGCTTCTTGTGCCCAAAGGGCAGGACCCGGCCCTTGGCCTGCTGGAACCTCATCCCCTTGCAATCAGCCCATGGATCCAGCTGGGCCAGGTCCCTCTGCAGAGCCCTCCTGCCTTCCAGCACATCAACACACCCCCAGCTTGGGGTCACCTGCACATTTGCTGATGAAATGCCTGGTTCTGCAGCAGCTGCAGATGCTCAAGGGGCAGCAGGACCAAGTCAGGGGCCTGGGGGGGCCTGGGGGGCTTTGGGGTCTGGGAGGGTCCTGGGGGAGCTGGGGAGGGGCTTTGGGGATTGGGGGCACAAATCAGGATAGACCAGTACAGACCAGGACAGACCAGTACCTCCTCACTGCTCCCTGGATCTCTCTTGGAGCTGGGCCACGTTGTCCTGGGACATCTGAGCACCCCGCAGTGCCCTCCCAGTACAGCCCAGTGCCCCCAGTACAGCCCACTGTGTTCCTGTCCCAGGGTGCCAGGGTGCCCCCCTCTTTGGGGAGGTTGGAATGGATTTGAGGGGGGGGGCTGGGGGAGATCTGAAGGGATCTGGGGGTTTGGATGTGGAATTTGGGGGTGTTTAGGGGTCTTTGGGTGTATTTGGGAGAGTTAAAACAGGTTTTGGGGGCATTGGGGCATCAAAGGGATCTGTGGGGGGAGGGGACTAAAGGGAAAATGAAGGTTAAGGGACATATGGGGAGGTTAAAGAGGTCTGGGGGGGAGATGAGGGGCTGCACCAAGAGCAGCTGAGTCCTGAGACCTCCCCGGTGTCCCCAAGACCCTCTTGGTGTTCCTAATTCCCCCCTTGACACTCCAAGACAACCCTGGTGTCTCCAGTGTCCCCAGGGCCTCCCCATTGCCATTATTCCCCCCTTGACACCCCCAATTCCACTGGCCCCAAGCTCCATCCCTGATGTCCCCAACCCTCCATCTCACCCCAAGAACCCCCCCTGGACCCTCTGACCCCAAAAATGCCCCCCCACACGCTCATAGAAAGGCCAAGGGCATCTGGGGACACGTTTGGGACAGTTGGGGGGCTTTGCAGGGCACTGGGTGATTATTGGAGGATACTGGGACACACTGGGGGGAACCAGAGGGCACTGGGAGGGACTAGAGGGTTACTGAGGGATCCTGGAAGGGCACTGGGAGGGACTGGGGAGTTACTGGGGGATTATCAGGACACAGGGAGAGACACTGGCAGGTTACTGGGCCATACTGGGGGTTACTGGGTGCTCACTGGAACATCACTGGGCCATACTGGGGGGCAGTGGGAGGTCACTGGGACACACTGGAACATCACTGGGCCATACTGGGGGGCAGTGGGAGGTCACTGGGACACACTGGCTGGTCACTGAGGGGGTTACTGGGCCGTACTGAGGGGCACTGGGATCCCCTAAACCCAGATGCGGTACATCTCCCCCCCGGACTTTGGGGGGCACCCCCAGGACTCCTCCCCTGGGGGCTGGGAGATCCCCTGAACCCCACTGCTGGGCTTTAGGGGACCCCCGGGCCCCCCTCTCTTTGGGGTCTCTGTGTGCTGAGTGTTGGGGGTCTCTGGGGTTCGGGGGGGGCATTGGATCCCCTTTCCCTGGGGTCGGTCCGCCGGGCCGGCAGGGGGCGCTGTGACGGGAGGGGTAATGGCGGGTCGCGGGTAATGCCGGCGGGTAACGCCGGCGCGCCTGCGCAGTGCAGCCAGGGCGCTGGGACAGCCCCACCCCCTTCCCCCGCGCGGGCTCCAGGCCCCGCGCTCTGACCCTCGGGAACCCCCGAACCCCTCGGCTAAACCCTCCCGAGCCCTCCAGCCTTCCCACCCACACCCGCGCTCCCCGCAGCCCCGAGCGGATCCCCAGAATCGCGCTCTCCGAGCGCAGCCGCACCTCCACCGCTACCGCTGCCCCGCAGACAACATGGCGCTCTGCGCACGCCCCGCCTCTCGAGCCCCCGCCGCAGCCAATCAGCGCTCGGCCCGTCCCCGCCCCGTCCCTGCCGGTCCCGCCCTGTCGGGTGAGCGGGGCGGGCACGGCGGGAAAGCGGCGGGGGGGAAAGAGCGGGGGGACCCCAAAGGGAGCGCGAGGGGCGGGGGGTCACCCCCAAAGGGAGCTGGGGGGAGCCGGGCTTTGAAGGGACGGTGGGAAAGGGGGGGAAAGCCACCTCCACCAGCACTTCCTCCACAGTGGAAATCCTCCACAAGGATTTCTCTTCAATTTGCCAAGGAAATTCTTCCAGATCATACTTCCATCTACAAGTCAGAACACCAGCCTGCACCAGGACTCCTGCTTGTTTTCCCTGCCCTTGCTGACAGGAGGTGCAGAGGCAGGATGTCAGCACTTCATCACCAACAGCCTTAACGGGGGATGACTCCACTTTTTAACCTTGGAAGAAGAGCAGCTTTTCCTTTTCCTCTCCTGTTTTTTGGGTTTAGTTTTTTTTTACCTACTGAATAAAAGAACACGTGTGTAAATTGAAATAATCTGAACCCAACTTTTCAGAAGACTGACACCTTTGAGCAGCTTCCTCTTAACCCTCTCTCCAGGCTGGAGGAGTGGCCAGATGAAGAGTTCTGGCTTCCAGAATGGCACAGCTGGTGGTTAGAGATTCATCCCACAGTTATCTAGAATATGCCCAAACTTGTTCTGCCCCTCCTAATTCCTAACTCAGACCAGTGGCTCCAAACCCACCATCTGGGAGGCTGATTAGGTTGGCAAGAACATTTCCCTGTGTGATAACAGTGTGGGCACAAGGACTGGGAGTGTGTCATAAGAAATCTGACTTGCATACATGGGGTAGGAGATAAAAAAACCACAGATAAGCAGAAAAGGTTTGCAAGGAAGAATTGGCAGCAAATCTGTGAGAAGATTAGTGCAGGTGACTATCAAATACAGGAGAAAACATGATGAAAGGAGTAACTCATGACTCTTTATCTGAGCTATGAAATGAACAGTAACTTCAGCCACTGATGAGAGATTTTTTTAAATACAGAAGTGAGTTTGCAGTTGTAGCATTTTCCCCATTAAAGCCTACAGCTGGTAAATAATAAAATAAGCAATTAAAAAGCAATCAAGCTTGCTGCATGAAAACCTCTCAAACAGGCTGCTTCAAACAACAACAGTCTTCTTGCTCCCCTCCTTCCCCCAAGCCCCAAAACTTCACCACATCTCAGGTCTGTACTGCTCACACACATCACTTGGCAGAGGAAAGCCACACAAAACAAAAGATAAAGAATAATTACTTGTTTTGGTAGGTACTGATGGTCACGTGTGTGGAATGGGAGGTCCCAAGAGGAGTGTCAGCTTGGTGGATGGTCCCTCTTGGGAAGTACAGTAAGTCACCTGGCTGCAAGAAAATTGATATATTTAGGGCACCAGGTCAAACCTTACTGCAGTCAGAGAAAATACTCCCTGAGCAGACAGTCTGACAATATATATCCTTTAGAATCACAAAATGGAGCAGTCCTGCAATGTACACTTTAATAACATAAAGAACACTAAGCCAGAAGTTCAGAACCTTAAACTTTCCAACCTGCTGTCAATATTTGCTGAAAATGTGAAACAAGGTTTTTAACATCACAGAACACACAGACTCCCACTGAGCTGCAGGAAGAGGACAAAGAAGCAGCTGAGAGGGACCTGCTGGTAACACAGTGGGCTGGCAGAGGAGCAGTGAAATGGGGATTTGGTCAGATCACATCAAAAGAAAAGGCTAGTATTCCACGAGAAAAGCCAAATATTCTGTAAAAATGGTAATCTGTTACAATACTGTTGTCTGAGATTTTCAGTTAAAGCACTTAAAAAACAGGTACGACCTTCCTCCTCCTCCTCCCTATCTTTCTTCTCACCTATGTAAATTAAAACTCCACACTGGAAAAAAAACTAGATAAGGAAAGTCAAGGCAAGAAAGGTGTAAAGCACATAAAATTGCCTCCAAGAAGGAAATAAAAGTTTACTTGTGGCTTGTCCTGTAAACACCTACAGAGTTGGACAGCACAGTCAAAGAAAACTGCCTTCCTTACCAGAGTGGGGACCACAGCAACCAAGAGTATTCTGAATTCTCTTCATTTGAAAGATGGAGAAAGGAAATATTCTAGAAAGATGTTTAGGGAGGAAATAGAGTCAAACAACAGCATCCCTCTCAGAGGCAGCCACAAAGAGACAACCAAACTTTGACAGCAGCCACCCAGAAGAAATGGGTCACAGGAAGTGAACAACAGCAAACAGAAGAAAAATAAATTAAAAACTTGGATAACTTTTAAGCCCATCATTATTCCATAAAAATGAAAGGCACTGAAGTCTGGTCCAAAATATTCCAGGAATGAAAAAGGGAACTGTAGTTTACCAGACTTTGCATCACCCAGTACACGATGACGATTGAATATTCCCCTCTGTCAAACAACACAGCTCATGATGTCAGCATCCCATCCAATGGGTCACACTGTTCCTAAAACACCTACACCATCCAACATGTCACACTATTCCTAAAACACCTACACCCAAATGCAGCTCTGGACACTGAGAAGAGCAGAGAGAGGCTCCATAACAGGCCAAAAGGCAGAGAAACTCCTGAGGATTCCAGCATGGAGCAGCACCACCAGCTGGACAAGTAACACTTCAAAAGCAGGTCAAACAGAACAGGACAAGCACCAGATTCCCTGCTGACACTCAGTAATCTTCATGAAATGTTCCTTTCATTCCAAAAATCAACCACCAACCAAACACTTGAATTTCAGGTTTGGAAAAAGGAAGAGCAATTAATACAGCAAGTTCATATGGGGTTTGGGTCATGCTTTTCTTTATCAGCCAAGGATAAATATTTAAATCTCATTCACCAGAACAGTGACAATGTTCAGTGCAGCAGTAAGTCTCAGTGCACAGGAGGATTAGCCTGAGGGATTACAGGCAGCATGTAAAAGCATAAAAATGTTTTAGAACCATACACAAACCCAGTGTTTTTTCTGCACACAACTCCACAAACATGACCTAGGAGTCAGGGTGCCCAACCTGGAGAGTACTAGTCAATTTACAGAAATAACTGGGGGTTTTGGCCCATTATTTAAATACTAGAAGCAAAGGATACCTTTAAAAAAGGATACAGACAACTCTCACCCAAATTTCTCGTGCTCGCAGTGTGCAAACCCTCCCCTCATTAATTTTTAGATGGCTACAATTCAGAGAAATTTAAATTTGAACTCATTTTTTTTTTGGTCTCTATTTAGAGACAACAGACAGAGGAGTTGTGAAGTGGGATCTGTTTTATCCTAAGGCAGGCATTTGGAAATCCCTGTTTCTCTCCAGTCACTTCAGTAAGTGCTAGAGAACTAACCCAAAAGGAACATCTGCCACACAAATAGCCAAAATTTCAGGTGAAAGAGGCTTATCCCCAACAGAGCATCAGAAACCTCTATAGGGTGCCCAGTGGGGGTAGATGGCATGAGTTAGAAATGCTGGATGTGAGGCTGCTGAATAACAAGCATAAGGAAAATGAAACTCCAGGTGTATTGAATGGAAATGAAAACATTAAAAAGCAAAATACACATATAAGGATTGGATTTTTTGATTTGGTTTAAGTGGGATAGTCCAATTTTTTCTTTATAACGCAGTGTATCTTTGTATGTTTCTTTTAGAAGTTGATTTAAAATGCATTTGGACCACAGGAATTCATCATATCAGTAACTTCTTAAAAACAGCAGGACCAACAAGCACAACCAGTCTGCTGTTACAGTCCAGCTGAAGAAAGAGCAAGTACTTAGTAAAGGGAAAAGGACTTGTAAATTCTTGGGGCCTGAATGAAGTGAAAATGAAAAAGCAGGTGCTAGAAAGCTTCTGCAGCTGTGAAAACAAACTTCTCTTTTTATCTAAGGGAAATACCAGGTCTGGAAAACCCAGTTTACATATTATGATTAGATATTACTATTAGTAAATTTTCAGCAAAAATGCGTAAGAAAAACGACTACAAGGAAACACAAATAAAAAAAAATAATTTTCCTATAATGTTTAGTGGGGGGGAGGGTTAGAAGCACACACACAACAGCAAACACTGCCATCAGCAAAAGCCCATGCACAATTTCCCAGGCAAGGTTGTGCTGTCCTACCTCAACATCATCATAGTGAGGAGGAAGGCCCTGGGATCCCTGGGCAGTGATGGAAACATTGGACCCCACCAGAGACCCAAAGTAGCACTCCAGCTTCTCCTGAAAATCTTCCACAGCTCCTCCTGTAAAAAAAAAAGATGCTGTTACTTGCTGAAGAGCTCAGGCAAGCCCAGCCCACATCCTCCCCATGGCTTGGGAAGAATGATCACATCAGGGACACAGAGGCTGGGAAGGAAGGTGCTCTGTACCAGTGTTTCTCCTGAAGGAGAGCACTGGAGATGCAAAGGGGATCTGCCAGGAGAGTCACTGCTAAGCCAAAAAGTCTGGTGCCCCAACCTGGGTTTGTTCTCTTCCCTGTGCCATCTTTAGGCTGCACAACCAGACAGACAAGGCTGAACAGAGGAAAATAACCCCACAAACAGCAGAACACCATAAGACAATAAGCACATGCAGGACCTGCATTCTCTCACCAGAGAGAACATACAAAGGTTAGAGACCTTTCACCAGTTACTCCAATCATTTGGGAATATTCAAAACCAAACTTGACTCATCCACACCCCACATGTGACAGACAAGGCACCGAAGGGAAACAGCAGAACGTGCCAAGTACCAGATCCACACAAGTGCAGCTTGGCCATTAAAGCTGACAGCAGCCAGGAACACTATACCTGGGACTCAGCTTGTATTTGGGATCTCATTTGGGTCCACCTCACAATTCAATTGTGTTGACACCTTCAAGGCTACCTGAATCAAAGCACCTCCAAGAATCCAAGTCCTTTACACAACTGTGCAGCACCACTGTCTCCTTCTCAAACTCAAGGACTGAGAACACTCAGCTAAAATGGGCTGGTACCTTTCCATGGTGCAATTCACTGGCAAGAACACTGGAAATATTTCACATGGTTTCACACCTTACCCTCCATTAAAGGGAAGTGGCTCAAAAGCCACAAAGTTTGCACAAGGAAACAGTGGGGCAGAAGGGATAATTTAAGCACAGATGCCTAATCATCAATTTTGTGCATTTGTTTTTTTTTCCAAACTTTTATGTGACAGAGCAAAATTTTAAAAAGAATATATTATTACACATATTATAGCATGAATCAGATTTTGTTCTTACTGCAGAGCAGTGAAACATGATGGACAGTGCAAAAGTATAAACTGTGTTTTAATACAGCTCATGTAAAGATTTCAGCAGGTCATCAATGTCAACCACTTCCCCTGGGGACAGAGATGAAGCCATGTCTAGTGCAACTCAAGCAAAACACACCACATTATTGAGCCAGCATCAATTATATCCAGTGAAACAATCCCACCTTAAATCTCTGAGGCTGATGAAACTGTATTGTTGCCTTTTTCTGGTCAAAATCCTTCTTCAGCTGCATGTAATTCACTTTGCCTTCTTTATTTATTATTATCTTTCTTGGGCATGGTCCCTGTTCAAGAGGAGAGAGGACCAAAACAATCAACCAGCAACACAACCTCAAGAGCTCACGGGCCCAGAGCAACAACTCTTCCCCTACCCAGTGGGATATCAGAGTATCCCGGGAACAGCTCTGGTTTCAGAGCCTCACTATTTGCTCCAAAGCATTAACAGTTTACAGAAGACAGGGAACATTGTTAGGCCTTCCTGTTGATGCTCTGTAATTACTACATTTACAAGTTTAAAACTTGTCAAATTTACCAGTTTAAGAACTAAAAGGCCAAGATTCTGCTTTCAGTCCTGTCGAGCTGTCAAACTTTGTTTATGTAGAACAAAAAGAATTCTTTCATACAAGCACAGACATTTCATTTTAAAGCTGGAAGTCATTTACTTTGTTTTTCCCAGGCAGAGAGTATGATTGTGTACCATTATGCAAAAATAAAGGTTTGGCTGCCAAATTCTCAGGAAAGTTAAGGGGAAAATCAAGTAACGGTAGGTAACTGTGCAAGTCTGGAAAGCCAACACCTGAGAAGTTTGAACGTGCTGATGCCATAATTTCTAAGTAAAAATGACAGCTCTACTCCCTACACCCATTTGATAGGAAATGCTATCAATTTGTTGAGATACTTTTATTTACACAGATCCCGTACTTTGAAACTTAAACTCCAGTTCTGGTATTTACATGCAGCACTAAGTTCTTCTGTGCAGCAGGACACCCTTGCTGGCCCACTAACTCCTGGGCAGTGTTTCATCAGCAGCTCCTGCACAGCCTGTCCCTCAGCAGTAACCAAGGGTCACCTCAGCCCTGCAGGAGGGAATTCACATCACCTCCTTCCTGAGAGAATGAACATTCCCAACTGCAGCACGAGGCAAGGGAATGCGTACAAAAGTAAAGACTGAAAATCAGTCCCTGACTGACAGCAAGATCTGAAGATGCTGCTGAAGGCACCAAGATCTAAAGCTGACATCCCCAAATGACAGCAACACAAATGCAACCAAGCCTGGATTAAGAGTTTTGAATTCCAGACCTAAATCCATTGTACCAACCTCTCAGCTCATTCACACTGATTTAAAGAAGTTACATTCAGATATTTACTATTCATAGAGCGCAGCTTCATTTACAACACGGGCTGTTCTGTAGCGTTCTGCTGGTTATTACAGCTGTTCCAAGCCCCCTGCCATGGGCAGGGATACCTTCCACAAGATCTAGTTGCTCAAACCCCCATCCAACAGGATCCAACCAGGCCTTGAGCACTGCCAGGGATGGGGCATCCACAGCTTCTCGGGGCAACCTGAGCCAATGCCTCACCACCCTCCAGCAGAAAAAAATTCTCCCTTACATTTAGTCTAAACCTAAACCGTTCAGCTTAAACCCATTGCCCCTTGTCCTGCAGCTACAGGCCCTCATAAAAAGTCCCTCTCCATCCTTCTTGCACCACTTAAGTCCTGACAGGCTGCAAGGAGGTCTCCACAGAGACTTCTCCAGATTGAGCCATCCCAACTCTCCCAGCCTGTCTCCGCAGCTGCTCCATCCCTCTCATCATCTTCCTGGCCTTCCCTGGACTTGATCCAAGAGGTCTGTGCCCTTCTCACGCTGGGAGCTCCAGAGCTGGATGCAGCGCTCCAGGTGGAGAATCACCAGAGCGCGGCAGAGGGGCAGAACCCCCTCCCTCACCCACGGCCCGCTGAATGGGATGCAGGATACGCCCGGATTTCTGGGCTGGGAGCTCAGCGCCAGCTCAGCCCCAACTTTCCATCCACCAGCACCCCCAATTCCTTCCGTGCCGGGCTGGAGGACAAAGCCCAGCGCAGAACCCCACACGGGAGCAGCTGCTCCCCGCCAGGGCTGTTCCCTCCCACACCACGGCAGCTCCCTGGGAAGCGGCGGGAATAGCGCCGGGCACAGTGGGAATAGCGCCGGGCACAGCGGGAATAGCGCCGGGCACAGCGGGAATAGCGCCGGGCACGGCGGGAATAGCGCCGGGCACGGCGGGAATAGCGCCGGGCACAGCGGGAATACCGCCGGGCACAGCGGGAATAGCGCCGGGCACAGCGGGAATACCGCCGGGCACAGCGGGAATAGCGCCGGGCACAGCGGGAATACCGCCGGGTACAGCGGAAATAATGCCGGGCATAGTGGGAATAGCGCCGGGCACAGCGGGAATACAGTAGGAAATCCGGCGGCATTCCAGTGTCATTCCAGTGTGTATTCCAGTGGGAACGCAGCAGCACTAAGGTTAATCAATCTGCTTCATACAACGGTGCCTGGGCTTCAGCTGCGTTATTTATTTTTTTTTTCCTGGACCAAAAATCTTCTTCTGGAGTCTCCCTGAGTCTCCCTCAAAGAAAACTTTGGAATCCTCACCGAGCACGTGAAAACTTCCAGAAATATTTTTGGATGCCTGTTAATGGTTTGGTTTACGTTGGCTAATGATGTCAGAAACAAAAGGAAATGTTAGGTAGGCTTTGCTGAAGCTTTGTTCTTGTGTACTGGCTTGAAGGATACGAAGCAGAACTAGCAGAAATAAAAAAGGTGGATTTTGGAAACCTCAGCAGCCTTACAGTGCACGGCTGATGTTGGTACAAAGTGACACTGCCATAAGTGTAACTAGAAGGACCTTTCAATGACAGGTAAGAGAGGGGACTGTGTCCTGTCAACAACTTAAGGAGGGAGAATAACAGAGCCTTGCACATCTCCAGCACCAGTTCAAATCCTTCCCTTTACGGAAAGTGGGTTTCAGTCTTGTTCCTCCTCACAGTGTGGTTGTTACACAGTCAGAACTTCTGCTTCCCTGGCACCAGCTGGATCATTTGGAACAAATGTCCTGATTCCAGTGGGTTCTGCATTCATGGATGCATCCAGCAAATTCCTGTGTGCTGAGCAGAGGAAGTGGCAAAGTATAATATATAGAAAAGGGGGGTGGAGGAGAGAAAAAGGCAAACGCTGCTCATACTGTTCAGTCCTTGTTCCTTTACCACCTGGACCGCTCTGTCGCCAGCTGACCAAAATATCCTGGTCACTTGAACGTGAAATAAGGATTAATCAGCGTGTGGCTGGGTTACCAGCAGAGAGATTTTGCCAGGGGTGAACCTGCAGCTGTCCTAATTGTAGAAATGTGTACAAATTAGATAAAAAAATTTAAGTTTCTCTAGAAAGCTTTTTTTTCATAGGCCTGTGAGCTTCAAAGAAAAAGAAGACAATCTCCACTTTCTAATTCTGAGTTCATCACTACATCCCTCAACATCCAGGACATTTTGCAAAATTTATTAAACTTCAAATATTTTAATGTAAATGCTCACCAATAGTTGGGATATTCAAAGTGAAAAATAGGTCACTGTCATGAAATTCTCTTTATTTCTTTCATGAGAATTAGCAAGCTTTGAAGAAGGAAGTAGTTCTCCAGACTTAAAAGGTTGCATCACCTAAATTAACACTCACAGGATGGGCGTACCAGCAGATGCTAAAAATAGAGAGGCCACATCCTGCACCTCAGCCGGTCACAGACACCCTTAAAAGATGTTATTTCTGTTCCAAAAATCCACAAAGTACCTCAGCCTAACTGCCTGGACACCATCAGGGTGAATACTCAAACAAATACACATTTACATAATGGCTGTGGTGTTTTTAATTTGCTGTGGGACATAAACCCCACACATCTGACCGGCTGCAAAACCAGTAGGAATGGGGAAATACTTTTGAGTACCTTTTTAAAGACTTCCGGGCTGATCTGGAGAGACAAATTGGCTAAAAGTATTTATTCCCATCCCAGTGGGGAAGGTAACACAGCTTCAGAGGAGGGTGGTGGGCGCTGTAACCAGCCCTCTAGCACCCCCCAGACGAGAAATAATGCGTTTAAATACCGTTTGTTATTTTTAACTACTAATACAAGCAACAGATTTCTGAAGTGTAATTGATCCCGGTATCATCCCTGTCACTGCCTTAAGAAAATAAAAATTATAACCTTTGCTGTAAAAATATCCAGTCAAGTTTCATCAGCATTTACAAGGGCCTGTAGTGACAGCACAAGGAGGAATGGCTTCAAACTGAGAGAGGGCAGGTTTAGATGGGATATTACGAAAAAAATTCTTCCCTGTGAGGGTGGTGAGGCACTGAAACAAGTTACCCCAAGAATTTATGGATGCCCTATCCCTGGAAGTGTTCAAGGCCACGTTGGATGGAGCTCTGAGCAACCTGGGATAGTGGAAGGTGGAAGGACTGCCAATTCCAGCACAGGGCTCCTGCAAGCACACGGCTCTACCTCCACCCTGGAAAGAAAGCCCTTACCCTCCATCTCTCATGTGCAGTTGTTGGGGCAGCCTGGGCACTCAGTGGGCAGCAAGAGCTTTCTGTGGTGGCACCTTTTGTCTGGCAGGAATCTTCAGTTGGATTCAATTTTGGGGAGGTGGGACCGGCCATTGCAGCGCAGGGCTGAAAAAAGAGAGCAACAGCCCTTTTTCCCAGGAAAGCAAGCCTGTAACCTTTGGGTTTCAGGTGCAGTTGGTGGGTTTTACAGATTGGTCAGGGGCTGCAATGTGGTTCTTTAGATGATTACTTCGAAGGCGAGATTAAGGCACAAAACTCCAAATGTTAGGTCTCAAACAGACAATTTGCTTTCTTTGTAGCAATAAGTAATGGTAAAATCGAGGCGGGAGGGGAGAAGAAGAGGGAGAGATAGGGAAAAGGAAAGTACAAAAAGGTTACCACCCCCAGTGAGAGATCCAGGTGTAGTCAGCCTCAGGCAGTCACGGAAGGGCCGCTGGAGAGAAGCAGGGGGGAAACAGACTGGATGCAAGACAGACAGGAGACGGAGCAGGTGGGACATGAGCAGGACAGAGGCAAGCAGGATGGAGCGAGGAGTGGGGACCAGCAGGGGACCCTGGCCAACACTGACTGGGCTCACCACCACGCTGGGCACTGCCTTAAATCCCCCCCTGTGGGCGCTCACTGGCCAGCCTGGCACCGGGCACACCTTTACACGATGTTGAATGGCTAAGCTGCTGGTATACAGGCAGGCTGGCTCTGCCAAGGCGGGAAAATGTACCAGCTTTCTGTTGGAGACTCTCCAGGGGTTCCCCAAGACTCCAGCAAGCAGTCTAAAATGTTTTCCTAGGCTGACGAAGACAGCCCTGCAAAGAGCTAAAGCCGGTGTCCGCAATTCTGTTCAGTCACTGGGCTCCAGGGGAGGTTCCTGGTAGCCTTTTCACTTGGAAAGTACATCACCTGATGGAAATACTTTCGTTAGTGTGAAGTGGTTAATTGCTGCTTGGGACACTTTA